GTTTTTGTTTCTTACGAGAACTCATAATTTCATGCATTTCTTTTATATTGACTGCATCAGGAAATTCTTTTTGAAGTGCAACTTTGAGATTTTCATACGCCTTGAAAGTTTTCTCCGACCGCAACCATAATTCTGCCGTACCCACCAGTGAACGTCTCGCAATAATTAACTTTTGTTGCGCCGTCCAACCGAAAATTTCAGCATTATCCTCGATATCTTGGGCCCATTTAGATGACGAATATGTTCGGTCATCACCGCTGAACTTTGAGATTGCGTCAGCAAATCCGAATCCAAACGCCATCGAAACGTTCTCATCTTTTGACGCCTGCATTTTGCTTTCTTCAAATTTAATACTTGCAGACTTGCAGATTTCAATGTGTCACCTCGTGTCGCGTACTTTAATCGAAATCGATCCCGGACGAGCCCCCAATTTTGTTGTGGGGAAGGATTTCGAAATTAGCGAACACGTTGTTAGCTTTCAAAAGATTATTTATTTTCTTCTTATTGCCTAAATACACCTTAATATCGTCTTTTATAACTCAGCACACGTCTTCCGTCTTAACACACTTCGCTCACACCCGCCATACGTCTTCCATCTCTCTCTTTCACTCAACGTTCCGTTTTCTCTGCATTCATTACCCATTCCCACATATATATAAAGACTAGCGCATAATCATTGTCCTATACACACAAATTAAATTCGACAACTTAGAAAAAAAATTAGTGGCCCGATTTGTGAATCTAAACCAATTTCGAATCGACCTGAAGACACAAAAAAAATTTCAATAAAACGGTCCAGCGGTTTAGAAGGAGTTCAGTGACATACACGCGTAAAGAAGAATTATACATATAAAGATATGACTACTGACAATATCATTACACTGTAGAAATATTTTTAAATATGTTATGGACATTCGCCATAATGTTAACTTGTGTTTATGCGAATGTTCACGTGCTTAAAGCGAAATATGCAGAGTAAAAAGTAAAAGTAGAGTAACAGCCTATACATGTCCCACTGCTGGGCAAAGGCCTCCTCTATACAGAGGGTATCAGGGCATAGTCCACCACGCGGCCCCACTGCGGATTGGCGGACTTCACATATTTTCGAAATATATTTTTTTGTTATTATTTCGAAAATATGCAGGTTTCCTCACGATGTTTTCCTTCACCGCGGAGCACGTGATAAGTCAGCACTTAACAGAGCACAGTCACTTCAGAGCCGTGATAGCTCAGTGTCCGGGCGCTCGCGTTTAATTCAATATACTCGAGCAACCTGAGTTCGATCCCCGGTACCAGCACCAATGATATGCAGTGTAATAAACTCAAATACGGGACAATTATTTTTACCTATCATACATAACTGTAACTGTTTTAATGTAATGACTGAATAATAATAATTAAATAATATATAAGTTTAGATGCGTTCATAATATTTTACATTTAGTCTATATATGGGGCATATTATGTACATGTACAGTTTGAAAGGTGATAAATAGATTTGTTAGTGTCCTTATAAGTTAGTCCGTTAGTTTGTAGGTGTCCTTATAATTGATGACTTGCTACTGTCATATTAGGGCGGGTATAAAATTCAATCTAGCATTCTGCACCTGCCAGTTTTCTCTTAACATAGACGAATCATCAAACTGTGGTAGACTTCAACTCTGGTAGGGCCACATAGCAGCCTCGACTGTTGCACGAATGGGCAGGCTCGTCCGGGTAAGTATCACGACCTCACAGAAGACCGGCGTGATGTGGAAGTATAATACTTTCGCGTTTCGTCGGGTGAGTGAGGTAGCCGGAGTCCAATTTGCAAAAAGTTGTCCACGCATCTGGAATCCTCGGGTGTAGCAGATGTCCATGGGCGGTGGTATTCACTTAACATCAGGTGAACCGCCTGCTCGCTTGACAACTTTTCACATAAATTAAAAAAGCGCTCATTGTGACATATTTGGAAATGACTTGAAAGATTACGGTGTAAGAACATACATTGGACGACTAGCCGCTAAGCAGCCTTTTATTGGAAACTTTCCACGCATGCAAATAAAGCGTTATTTCTTGATTCTAATTTGTACCACTAAGATAGGGACAAGAGGTAAGGAAATAATTTGTCAGACAGTTTTGAGAGTCTTCTTTAATAAGTTTATACTTACTAAGTATAAAACTACATACATTACGTCTTACTATAAGGTGGAGTTAAAATTAGTAATAAACGATACTGACTTTATGTATGTAGATGATAAGCAATCATTCTAAGTTTGATTATATTTAATTTAGCTTTTTACTGTGAAAAATATAAATTCAATATAAAAAAATGATAATAATATAATATCTATCAATGATATTACATACGAGGTAGATAGGACACTAGCGTACCGAAACTGAGGCACTCAAATTACGGCAATTAGTGTAATTTTATTGCAACTGCTATCTCTCTCCATATCATACGTTCTATATCATCTGTCACATTCACTTTTTATATGTCATGTAATGTATAGCGGAACCATTTTTAAACGCTGCGCAGTATGGACATGCGTCTATTTTATTAAAACATTATTGATTTGTATGTTATTCTTATTTAGCGAGACTTGAATTAATTACATCAATATTTTTTTACGAAATGTTTGATAAAGTTTTTGATTAAATTGTATTGCGTTATATGTATGCAATATTAAAGAACATATAATTTAAAAAAGTTATTAATATCGTGAAGTGTAAAAAGGCAAAGGTTGTATTAATTCATCTCGGAGCACGATCATTCGCCGAGATAATGGTTGATTTATAATGATTACCATTTTATTATAGATGAATCATACTAAATCATGTCTTCCCCGGTTTTTGCTCGTCGAGGTTTGATGACCTAGGACCGTGACAGAAATCAGCTGTTTTCGAAATAAACCTTTTTGTATCCATTACTCACGTATCATGACGCATTTACTTCGCCTGGACTCAATTGTCAGATGGAACCCGGAACCGGTCGATTGAGGTATTCACACACCGGAAATAAAAATATTCTTGATGAATCAAATTTGTATACTAGTCAATGGTTTCTATATAATATATTATACTAACGCCCGGTTTCTGAAACACTGATTAGTTGACTTCTAAAATGGTTCGTAGAAACCACCTAATCAGCTGTCAAATGACTACAAATGTAATTTGAGTTGCCAAAAGGTTGTTAAACTCTCTGAATTGATCAGATTGATCTTCTTAATGATCAGAATGAATCAGTAACAATTCATACTGGATTGTTTATTAAGATGTCGTTTTATCTTTATACACATACATAAATATTTTCATAAATACAAATTAAGCAAACATAACCAATTACGTCATTTTTAAAAATAAGTGTGCACAGACGACTTGTCCAATTTATCTACAGTCGCCCTTTGCGTGGATGTGGGTGCGGAATAAAAATGCAATTACCTCAATGAACCGTATCTCCAGCCTCAATTAGGCTCGCTTCACACGAGCGGCCATTGCTAATCCGAAGAGATAAGGTACTGCAACCAACTCGAATTAATCACTTGGCGGCGTAATGAATTTATAGCATTGAGCTCGAAGGCGAAATAACAGCTTTTGAGGCGATACTGGATAGCCTCAAAAGCTGTTCGTAATTTCGTCCGGTTGCATCACTGGTGATATTAATCCATACTCTTTTTACATAAACTTTATTATACATTCTTTCAGCATTACTAATATTTTTTATACGTCGACAATTTGTAATATATTGAGTAATATCTTTAATGTAGGTATATCTAATGTATTGAACCGTAAACCATTATAATACAAACTCTTGTATATTAATCAGAAATAATAGCATAAAACTTATATTTTAATCCATACATGTGCCAGTAAAACCACTACAAATAGAACAATGATAATGCACGGTTACCATGGGCAACAATTAACGCTGTTCGAGGATCGCAGACCAGGGTACCAAAACCGACGGACAGGTGGTTGGCTCTACACAGTAGCTTAATTGCCCATTAATGGGCGATAGCTTTTAAAATCGCTGTAATGCCACAGAATGTTCCATTCAGGTTAACATACTTAAATAGCAAGAATAGCGCATTATTAACCCGAGAGAGATTTAAGACCAGACACAATTAACCGAGCCCGGGTTGGCTTGTCCTAAGTCAAATGCAAATGGCCTATCACGCTGAATAAGGTAATAAGATTACATTGTGCGGGGCCAATAGCTTATCTTTGCATCTCGAATGGTTTCAGCGTTTAATTTATAGTAATAAAACAGATAAACTAAGATCAAAAACGTTCCGCGATCCTTAGAGTATGCGCGGAATGTCTTAGTAAGTTTATGAGCGGTAGAGATGCAGGGCTTAAAATCGAAATGTATGAAACAAACAGAAAACTAATTCAGTCACAATCATTGAAATATCTCAATAAAATATCCAACTCAATATTTTCGAATTATTTCGGCAAAAAGCTTACCGCTATCATGTGTTGGAACTTCAACAATCATCATCATCATTTCAGCTTGTTTTAATCCACTGTTGAACATAGGCTTCCCCCACAGACTGCCTCAAAGCACGATCCTGAGCCACTTGCATCCATCGATTTCCCGCGCATTTACATAGGTCGTCACTCCGAAACATTTCTTCCCCAACGGTTATTGGAAACGACTATCGGTTACGTTGGAACATAATTATAATTTATAGTATGATGAGTATTAGATGCTTTTAAACAAATTTTACGGCTTCCTTCGAATTTGGTACTGATAATTCTGTTGTTATAATCAGCTCCTCGGTAGTGTTTATAAATGTTTTACATGATTAATTTCTCGTTTTTACTTTTAATTGTGATCTCAGTTACCGACGTTTCGAATACTTTACAGCGTCTCTGGTCATCTGTCACGGGAAAGATTGAGATTTTTTTATGTCCAAAAGTCACAGTTAACCCGTGCAGATTCAGGTGGTTGAGTAAACCAACTACTCTATTAATCTGGGATCCTAGGAAAGATAGAAAGGTACTATCATAGGAAAATGAAATCACTCACTAAGCTAACCAAAACTTTGAACACTGCAAAACTTCAAGGTTAGGCTTTATTATTAAACTCGAACTGAGATTGCTAAATATAATATTTTATGTTAGTAACCAAATCTATCTGTAGATAAAAGTAAATGTCTGTCGAATACATAACCTAAAAACTTGTTTTACTCAAACGAATTCAAGATGAACGCAAATATTCCAACCTAAAGCTCCTCGAGTTTCAGTAAGAGGAAAGAAATAAAACTTTAATTATCTCGACTTTAGCCTGATAGAAGTTCGATGCGTGTGATCTCTTAACATTTATTGAGCATTAAAATTTTAACATACTTCGCAACGGTACTTCCAGCGCACTTTACGACTGCGCAAGACTTTATTCATCTGTGCGTCCAGGTGTACAAGGTTTTATTTGTTGAATTAAAGTTTGCACGTTTGTTATCAACGAGTTATTCCCAACAATATGAGTTCCCATTTTTATTTGAGGAACGGTCAACAGCGAGCAGACCGTTCATCTAATGTTAAGAAATTACTAATTCTCGTAAACATCTACAATACCCGTAGTCACCTAACTCACCAGACAAAATGCGAATATACATACTTATACCTTAACTGGGACCACTGTGAGGTCGCTTGCGTGTTCTTCTCGTGTTCTTCTTCTTCCAGACTTCCTACAGTGGCTATACTTCTTCAGGCTACTGAATCTCAAGCAAATCCTTGCCCCTTGGCTCACAGCCTGACATTATTTACCCAAATGAGCTCAATGAACCGTCTATATCTCTATCGGATTTCCCGTGGTTGGAGTTTGTTTATTAGGAATACCGTTATTCGCAGGCATCCGCGAGGCCGCCTTCCTCTATGCCTTAACGGCGGCGGGAGTGGCCCACGCGGTGGCGAGGGCCTGTGCCCAGGGGCGGCTGCTTTCGTGCGGCTGCGACCCGCTCGGCTACCGCGCCTCCCACGACCCCCGGGGCCGAGCGAGGGCCAACAAATGGGAGTGGAGCGGCTGCTCCCACAACCTCGCCTACGGGATGGAGTACTCCAAGAAGTTCCTCGACGCCAGGGAGCAGGTCGACGACCTGCAGTCGAAGATCAACGTGCACAACAACAACGCTGGCAGATTCGTGAGTGGAGATTATAATCTAGTTTGACTGACTTTATGCCGATGCATTGAAAAAGAGCGTCCACACAGGCATTCGTAAACGATGTTCGTGTTGCTTTTGCAAGCACTTGAAAGATTGGTTAGGATTCCTGAAAGTGGATATTTTATACGTTAGTATAAAGTACTAAGTGTTAAAGGACCGATAATTGATTTTTTATATAATTATCTATATTGAAGGGCAAGTATATAATAACCAACATACACACATCACAAATTAATTAAATTATGGTTTATTCCATACATAAATTAAATATACCACCACACTCTACAATGAAAATAAATTTTTAAAACTTGAACCCATTAACTAACTTCGAGACAGTTTTGAAAGCTTGATCGAAACGACAATTGAACCACTTTATAATTTCAAAACAAACAAATTGTGCAGGGGCGTTCAATTAATTCCCTTTGATCTGCCACACAAAAAGAGGGGAAACACACTATCAAAAGACACCACTAAGACTTGGATGGCTCTTCAATTGACTTCATTAACGGTGAGCGTGCATAATTTCAGCTACATCATGGCGGAGGGTGAATAGGATAATAAATCATAGCAAAATAGTTTTTGAAAACAGAAAAGATATCACTCAGCCTCATTTTCAATGAATAATATATTACTACTTACTAGTAGTTAGTTACAATTAATACGTATAATTAATTTGGGTTCAATAAAAAACTTTAAAATTCTCCTTTAGCTTTCAAATTAATTTGTGGTACCAGAAGACGTTTCGTTGTAACAAAAGTGACAGGGCCCTAAATAATATACCAACAAAACATCAAACGATTAATTTTTATAACCTTAAACGTCTGATAGTCTCTTAAAAAATAATCACGAAAACATTTCAATGGCTTAATCAGACTTACAAAATTACAGGGCAGCGGCGCAGTTGTTTTCCTTGATCATAAAACAATGTAACACGTACTGCACCTCTATTTTGACATAACGACCGTTATTACAGCTTAGATCGTAAGTGTCCACTTTAATATGGAACATGAAGGGCTATTGGACGAAACATGATGTATGGTTTGAAACGGGTCATATTTGGTTGGCCGTCGTGAAGGTGAAATTATGTAGGTGCCCAAATGGTCCACGGAGGCGTTGGACGTGGAATGCAACACTTATTTAGTTTGAATTGAAGAGCGGTTTGTGGGCGGGGCCCTTTGTAATCACCAATATGGGTGGTCCGTTTGACCGTTATGAATACATACATTATTGTATCGTCCGTTGCTCGCTTCGTCACTCCCATTCATTGAAATGTTATATACATTATTTTAGGCGGAACATTATGCAATTTGTGTCAACAGGCGCTCTAGTGACAAAGTCCTTAACCGTTCCTCTTAATTTATTCCAAAATAAATTGGGGTCAATCCGTACATTTGATATTTGTAACTGGGTCTTGGCTTATAGAAAATGCAGCGCATAAATCCTTTTGCCAAATATTCAGCATCGACAAAATCTAAATGATTGATGTTGTGCCGGAAGTCTCTGTATTCATTTGGCGATTCACTATCCTATTGCGCTACCGAAAGAAACTGATTGTATTGTACACTAATAGTATTTCTTTGGTCTTGCACAATATTACATTATTCATAAGCATTTTGCATTGCATAAAAATTTAAAAGAAAAAAATTTGATGCAGCTTATTCACAAATTTCACAATATATTATTCATGTCGAGCCCGTTGGCAAATGAATTAGAGCTATACCATTGCAAACATGTCGTTGCCAGACAAAGAGATTTAAAATAAATACGCGGTACTTAAGCTTCTAAGATCGTGTTTCTATTAAATAAATATACCAAGCTCACCGATTCGTTATTTTCCAATAAGCATCGCCGGACTGACAACTACAAACTAACCGACAGCTAAGCCAAAATACCGGACCTACTGTACGGGATTATTCCTAATAATTTAATAGGCCTCTTCCGTCTAATAATAAACATGTCAGGCCGAAGTTAAATACGACAAAGCCAATACAAGATCGTTCGTATTCGAATGTATATTCAGTTAAAACAGCACTTAAGACAAGCGTCATAAGACAAAGAACGCGTTTAGCCGAAGGCAAAACAAACTTGGCCTCGAATATTATATTCGTATCCGTTACCAAATCTGACATTAAAGCGGCATACTGAATCCCGCGCTTACTTATTAGTGGGATTTACGATTAGTTCAATTTTATTTACGCCCTTAGATTTTTTATAATACAAACACGACGTGTAGCTACAAATTATTTAATTTGTAATTCGTTCATATATGTCAATTATATGTGGCAGTAGCCTGCTTAATTTACTGTATACCTACCGTCCACTGGCATCTTTTACAGTGGAATAATTTAGTTGTACCCACACTTAGTTTTTATCCGCTCCGTTGATTAAAGACCGATAGGAAAAATTGTTTCATTGGCAATTAATATAAGCTTAATCCTGTATGCGATCATTTATTTTTAAAGCGAGATGAGCAGTAATTAAAAATAAAATAAACGCCGTTTAATTTTTATAGCTTTGTTTAAAAGATGTAAAGATATTTAAATTATGCCTGAAAAAAAACCTTAACTAAGTAAAATTTATTACCTACACGTTGACAACAATGTTTTACTCATTTAGTGCTTTACATCATGTATCCGATTTAGTATCAAAAAATAATTATCTATAAAATGAAACCAGTAAGAACCCGGAGGGTTCAAGTTACAAAAACTTAGGAATAAAATAAAATAGAAATAACTGTGGTAGGGCCACGCAGCAGCCTCGGCTGTTGCAAGAATGGGCAGGCTCGTCCGGGTAAGTACCAAGACCTCACAGAAGACCGGCGTAAAGTTGAAGTATAATAAATACTTTCGCGTTTCGTCTGGTGAATGAGGTAGCCGGAGCCCAATCTTCAAAAGGTTGTCAACGCATCTGTAACCCTCGGGTGTAGCAGATGTCCATGGGCGGCGGGATTCACTTAACATCAGGTGAACCGCCTGCTCGCTTGGCAACTTTTCACATAAAAAAAAACTCATTTTATCAATCGTCATAAAAAAGTCCAACGTAAATAGACTAAAACTCAAATAAGTAGTATTAACATTTAAAACTTGTTGTACAAGCAGCTTCAAGACTTCAAATGCACAAAAATGATGAGATATGCACAAGACATAATTAATTCTTGCATAAAACAAAGTAATAATTTTACATGGCGTTTCGTAAACAACTGGCAGCTTACACCAAACAACGTAATAAATTAGAACTATCTCTAGACGATAATTCTAATTCATAATATTATACAATAATAATAAAACGGGCGCACTCAATTAGTCTCCGTCGAACTTTAATGCAGTAGCGGTCGTGAAATATGCGAAATAGCTTTTTAATTCTTACATAACTCACTATTAACACATAGTTTAATTTGACATTTTACGAGCCTAATGCCTGTGGTCGCTATAAAATTTCGAAGCTAATGATCGCGATACATTGTTGCTTTTACGATGCTATATGTTTTTCGGTGTCGTTGTTATCGCTGAAACACGATTGTGTGGTGGAAAGGGAGCATGTGGGTAAATTTCTATAAGGTTCGCAAGGGTGCTAATACAACATTGTAATTTTTTTTTGGTTGGATCTTCCACCGCTGGCCTTTAGAAGGACTTTAAAGATCTACTTAGCTTAAGGTTGTTGAAGCACCCGGGCGGGTGCTGAGGGTGCCTAGCTGGAATCTGATTTATGACAGACTAAGCTTGAGGGCTCCTCTAGGAGCCTTAGTACGAGCCGTCACTCTATTAATATTAGTACCAGATTTGACAATTATTGTTAAATTCAAGCTCTATTTATAATCCCGGTTGAACATATAGTTGAAATTTCGCGACGTGGGGTTATTGCTTGATATTGATAGCTGAAGGCGATTACGTCATTAATATGTAAGGTAAAGCGGCTGTTCATGTCACATCTTTGAAGATTTTTTTAAACATCTCACCCCACTGAAAACAAGTTCTCTGCATACAGGCAATTAAAATACGGAAATTGAGTAACGTAACGCTAGTTGTAAACTACGATGTCATATGCGTATCACAATACCAAACCAACTAAACAATGTTGGATCGAAGGTCATCAAAACTGTAATTGGTTTAGGATATCAAAGGCTTACCACTCTTAAAGATGGTATCTTAAGTATCTCCCATAAAGAATGTACTTGATAACCGATATAAAAACTCATACCCAACGCTTAATACATTACTAGTTTTCATTTACAAACAATATACATCCATGATGTTCATTTGGCAAACTGGTGTATTAATTAGTTCCAGAAGAATATAGAGGTTTTCCAGCTAGTTTTCCATTGAAAATAACAATTTTTCATTTCAAAATAACGATTTAAAAAAACGGTTAAATCAGTAATCTCTAAATGCAAATATCTAGACGTAGTCCAGATGAATAAATGTTTGCATTTAGAGAGCCACTGTAAAAATCAATTTTTTCGTAAAACTATATTAGTTGAAGAGTTAGATAATATGATATAATAGATAAGCATTTTTTCATTGATGCCTTTGTGAAATAGAGGCAACTATTAAAATATCTAGAGAAACATAGACTGTAAAAAGATATCAAGTAATGAATTGAAAAAAATCATTTTCTTTTTTCCGTTTACTATTCATATCGATTAAAATTTACACGCTGGGCGGAATGTTGTGCCATGTTTTTCTAATTTTATTGCATCAGATGCTAGAACAACAAAAAAGGTCAAAATTATCATTTCGTTATTTTATTTTTTTTAATTCTTAATTTGAAAAGAAAAATCGTTTATTTTAAGAAAAATTGTTAATATGACTTGAAAAACCTGTAAATCAAATTTTAAGGTGAATAAAGTACGATCCACCGAAATTGATTTTCAACCCATTTTACATTACAGGATACATAGCCTGGAGATAATGGCCACTCCAATAATCTCTTTTACGATTCGGACGGAGCGAATGATGCAAATTATTTTTATGAAACATACCAATCATTCCGAAGATTACGATACG